CATATTTATATATTTGATCAATCTTAAAATAAACAGGGCAGAGATGACTTCTTTCTCACAGTATCTCCAGTACCAATGAAGATGTCTGGGCATCTTGATTTGACTCGGTAGTAAAAAGACCTGACTTGGCTAAAAGTCATCAAATGTGAACATTGAGTCAAACCATGGGATCTCCAGTTCCTCTGCTATAGACAGGGGAAGCTGGACTAGATAAGTTCCAACATATTCCACAAGAGGAGACTCATGAAAAGCTGAACAGAGTAAGCCTGTGTTGCTTATGTCCCTATCTTGAGCTACATCAACAAACCCTTCTGGACTCTGAGGGGGGTTTCACTGAGCAGCTGCAATCGACCACTTAGGCTCAGTTTAGCATGTTGCCAGCAATTGAAAGTCACACCACACACAAGGCAGTGACACCACAGGACAGCCTGGCGTGCTTCAGCGAGCTGTGGTGGCTGTAATGTGAGGCAGGCAGAAACCTCGTGTTGGAGTGGAGGAATGAAACAGGCTCACGTTTGCTGGCCTTTAGGAGGCAGCCGCGTCCTCATAATACATTGAAAATGGGATACACAAGGCTGAGTGCAGCAGCTCCTTTGTTTCTGCTGATGGGAATTGACACTGACACTGCAAGTCAGATGGAAGGAGGGCCAGGCTGGCTGAGAGCTGCAAAGTCAAAGCAAGGAGGCTGGAACCGTTTGAGGGGAATGGGTGAGAGATGGTTACCAAAGTTCTTATGAGTTAAGTGAAATTTCAGAAGGTGAGACAAAGTGTCTTGTGAGTAAGAGAAGTGGGAATAAAACAAGTTGGGGGGAGAGAGGACCTGATCAGGACAGAGCAAGAGAGAAGGAGAGAGCTCTAAAAATGTAAGAGTCCTATCGAGAGAAATTTCAAGCTAACTTAATTCTCTTAATCTTGTTACCTAACAGGTTTCAAAAGTAGTCAGCAGCCACAGATATTTACTATTACTTTACCCTAGTAAATACCTTAAAGATTGTTTCAATTATGACACCACATTTGGAGGCACACAGAATTTATAAATAGGAAAATCCTTCCCCCAGAACAAGATGCAGTCAGAGGCAGCTGGTGTGGCTCCGTTGGTTGGGCGTCGCCCTGTGCACCCAATGGTCTCAGGTTGGATTTGCCTGGGTTTTCTGGCTCGATCCCCAATGGGGGGCATGCAGGAGGTGGCCAACTGATGTTTCTCTCTTACATTGATGTTTCTATCTCTCCCACTCCCTTCCTCTCTAAAAATCAAATTTAAGTTTTTTTTTTAAAGATGTAAGCTAGAAAAGATGAGCTAGTAGTTATAACCTTGATGTATAACCTCAGCTATCAGAAGACTAGGCACACCATGATCAAGAAAAGCATTTTTTTCCAGGTAGGAATGGTACTGAAAGAATGGAAGCCCCTTTTAAAGGGAAAGTTCTGTAGGAACATGTATTGTGATCCACAGCCCCTGCAACTAGAACCAAGGAAGACAATGCTGGTTTCTCATTACTGGTACTCAGGAGCCAGTGGCTGGTGACCCTCCCAATCTCTACAGCTCTCGAAAGAGAAAGAAGGTGTCATGCTCTATTTAAATGGGCAACCCCTTACTTCTAACACTACACACAAGGGTTGGCAACCCTACTTCCCTAAGAAAGTCTTTCAACATAAAAAAAATCTCACTACAGCCTGGCCAGCATGGCTCAGTGGTTGAGTGTCGACCTATGAACCAGGAGGTCAGGGTTCGATTCCTGGTCAGGGCACATGCCCGGAGGCAGCCAATCAATGGTTCTGGGGGGGCATGCAGGAGGCAGCCAATCAATGATTATCTCTCATCTCCCTTCCTCTCTTAAATAAAAATATATACATTTTTAAAATCTCACTACATATAACTCTCAAAATCTAGGCGAGCCTGACATTCCCCCAGTATAGTAAGATTTCCAAGGTATTAGCTGTATTTTTTCGGGAAGCACGAAACCGAAACCGGTGTAAAACCTCCCCTTACCATGGGATGGGGGAGTCAGCAAAGAGAAAGGCGGACAAAGAAAGAACGAACATCCGAGTCAGGAAAAACAAGTATACAAGTGGCAGAGCAACAGCATCGTTTCCACATGGAGGGACATGTCAGTGTGCAGAGAGAGCGGGGAACCGGAGCGGGCAGATCAGAGAGAAAGACAATAACGTTGGGCGGATGGGTGGCTGAAAGCAGGGGGATCCAGCTAAAAGCAAGAAGAAAAAAAAACAACAAAAAAACACAAAGCCACAGGAGGAGGAGAAGGCACTTAGCTTAATGGAAGTGGGAAAGCATTCGGAGGAAAAGGCTAGGGGCAGGCAGGCAGGGAGGAGAGGCAGCTCCTCTCACTGAAAGGCTCCTGGGGAGAGTGGGCTCGGCCCCCCACACAGACAGACAGACAGACACACAGACACACAGACAGACACACAGACACACAGACAGACAGGCAGGCAGAAGCGGTGAGTCCCCGCACAGTTCCCCAGCCTCTCCCCGGCCACCCACTCGGCACCCCAAAGCCCCGGCTAGACACCTGGACCCGCTCAGGGTTCCGGCCCGGCACCCAGCCCCGCTGAAGGGGGCCGCTCCGCCCTCCCCGCCCCGGCGTGCACCCCTTTCTACACTCATGCAGGTTCCTCCTCGGGGAGGAGGCCGGTCCAAGCAAGTCCCAGCGCATCTGCCACTCGCAGCTCCCGGCCTTTCTCCGTTTCCCCAGCAACGATGAACCTGAACTCTGCCCGCCCCCTGCCCCGCACAGGGAGCTGCCCACCGCGGAGACCCCGGCCCATCGCCGCTCCAGGCGGCACCGCTTCGGTCCGGAGCCCGGGTGCGATGCCGGGATGCGCCGACGCAAAGCCCTTCCCCTGAGGTTCCTGCCCTCGCGTCTCCGGCTCTTCCCCACATTCCTCCCGGGGATGCTCTTGGTGCTGGGGACCTGATACCCAAGACCCCCACCCCCACGTCACGCAGCTGTTCAGAGAAAAAAACAAAA